TATATATATATATATATAATATAATAATATATAATATATATATATTAAACAATGCGTGGATTTTATAAGATATATATATATATATATATATATATATATATATATATATATATATATATATATATATATATATATATATATATATATATATATATATATATATATATATATATATATATATATATATATATATATATATATATATATATATATATATATATATATATATATATATATATATATATATATATATATTTCATTAGCCCAATAAAGCACGCGGCCTTCTACATACATATATATATATATATTAAAACCACGATTAACCGACCCTCGATTAACCGACTTTCGGATTAACCGTCAATCCCGAACCCCTGATTTTTTTTTCGAGGAATAGCCCATCCAGGCACAGGGCACTGACCCACATCGAGGCCTGGGGGAGATAATGTAATCATAATGATAATGTTAATAATAATAATAATAATAATAATAATAATAATAATAATAATAATAATAATAATAATAATAATAATAAAGAACCACAAAGAAATGAAAAAATGAAAAAAAAAATCAAGAGTGAGAAACAATGTACCTGTATGTATGTTATGTTGTCAATAGTAAGAGAAACAATTCAGACCCTGCAATTGTGTGTAAATGAGGCAGAAAGTCAGATCAGCAACCTGGGACTTGGTCACAATTTTTGTTATGACATATGTTCTTTGACTTTTCCATTATTTATTCACGGTTTCTGTGCTGGTTCATATTTATTTACTAAAGAGGTTAATGTTTTAAAGCAAATTCTATTGAAATATGAATAGCAAATGAACAAAAATGAATAGAAAGATATGAGGTAGGTTAATCAAGGTACTATATATATGTTATATTTCCGTAGACTTATTGTACTACAGTAGTACCCCGATTTACGCGGTCAATTGAACCCACAGGGTACCGCGGAAAGTGAAAACCGCGTAAAGTGAACAACAGAACATATGGGATTAATTCCAATAGAGACTGGCCCGACCCCCAAACTCCACGTTTTCCGACACAATACCTATGTTGTAGTAAAAATGACATCTAAATTTTATGATGGTATGCTCACACAATTAATATTAAGAGAAATACAGTTGCCAGGTTAATGTCCATTCAAATAATGGACTCAAATCCCCCCTCTCCCCTCTTCCCAGCTCACTGGCCCCTACCTCTCTGATTAATGTTTGGGTGAAAACCCTAGATTTTAACGTTTAGTAATAAATAATACCTCAGACTAAAGTTAGGATAATATAATTGACATTTCTGGATTCCTTGCAGGTCAGGGAATATTTTGAATGTAAACTTCATATATTTTGCACAAAAGATAAAATATTTGCTTTGTGTAAACCAAATTATTACTTTAGATCTAAAATTTGTATGTCTAATGCAAAATCCATGATGTTTTTATTCAAAATGATCATCATATTGTAAGAATTCCAGCAATGTAAATTATATTCTGGCCGGGTAATTTGTATGAATTTTATGAGCTAAATAAAAAATTAAAAAATTATACTTCACTGCGTATATGAGTAGATGCACCGCGGAAAGTGAAAGTCTGGTTCTGGCAAGGTACCGCGTAAATGAGAAATCGTGGAAAGTTTCTACATTTACGCGGTACCTTGCCAGAACCGGAATTCCCACTTTACGCGGTGCATCATAGATTACAAATTTGTTTCTGGCTGAATGCATGTTACAGTGGGGTATGCTATAACGAACGGATCCTACTACGAATATTCCTATAACGAACGGTTTTACCTATAAAATTGAGAATGCTATAACGAACGAAACTCCTACAACGAACATAATTAAATTTTTTTTTTTTTCTAATTTATTGTTTTATTATTACAAATATTAATGATATTCATTATTTCAGGGGTTTAGATGCATATTTATGCACTTTTTTAAAATTTTTACAATTTTATATTATATTTTTCAGAGTTAAGTGGTTGTATTTGGGGGCCTGGAACGGATTAATCCTATAACAAACGAATGCTATAACGAACAAGGTTCTAGAACCAATTAGATTCGTTATACCATACCCCACTGTATCTTTTGTGCAAAATATATGACATTTATATTCAAAATATTCCTGGTCTTACAAGGAATCCAGCAATGTCAATTATATTATCCTCACTTTAGTCTGAGGTATTATTTATTACTAAAAAGGTAAATATTCTGGTTTCTCCCACACATTTCTCTGGTAGGGAGGGACGGAACGACCATCTGGTGAGGTTGGAAGAAGGGGGGAGGCAAGGTGGGGTACTTTGATTGACAGATAGTGTCGTGAAGAATATTTTTTTTTTATTAACTGAAGATATTTGTTTTAGCTCATAAAATTCATACAAATTACCCGGTCAGAATATAATTTACATTGCTGGAATTCTTATAATTTGGTGATCATTTTGAATATAAACATCATATATTTTGCTTTAAACTTACAATTTTTAGATAAAATTTTCTCTAGGTAACTATGTTATCTTTTGTCCAAAATATATGACATTTATATTCAAAATATTCCTGGTCTTACAAGGAATCCAGCAATGTCAATTATATTTTCCTAACTTTAGTTTGAGGTTATCCCACACATCTCCTTGGGACGGTTGGTGGGGGGGTGGGAGGAGGGACCGACCGACCATCTGTTAGCCGGCTGTGTAGTGTGAGAGGGGGAGGGAGTTGAGTCCATTATTTGAATGGACATTAACTTGGCGACTGTATTTCTCTATTTCTCTTAAGTATTAATTGTGTGCATGTACCATCATAAAATTAAGATGTTATTTTTACTACAACATAGGTATGTGCCTTCAAAAAGTGGAGTTTGGGGGTCGGGCCGGTTTCTATTGGAATTAATCCCATATGTTCTGTTGTTCACTTAACGCGGGACCCTCTGGGTTCAATTGACCGCGTTAAGTGGGGTACAACTGTATATATATATACACACACCTAGACCCCGACTTACGACTACGTGGACTTACGACCGTCGGGACTTACGTCTGAAGAAAGCGACATTGATGACCCACCCAGCCCTGTCTCCTCCTCTGCTTCATCCAATTAATGTAGTCGCCATGTTTAATTAAAAAATTTAGGTCCCATGTGCATTCAGCTGACTACATTAAAGGTAAGTGCACAGTAACACTTTATTCATTTTTCATTATTGATTACTTTTACTGTACTGTATTTTATTTCATATTTTCTATGTATTATTTTTTTGCATTTTCGACTTACGACCTGGATTTGGGTCCCTTACCCCGTCGTAAGTCGGGGACTGCCTGTATATAGGAAAATCGGTCAGGAAATATTTCAAATGTATCAACATGGCAAACAAATGCGTTATTTGCTCACCAGAGGCGCCACCGTGGCTGCTCACTCACGCATTCATGCTCGCCAGCTCAGTCTTTCTGAGTGAGTGACGAGAAGGCAGCCAACTGCTGCAGATTATGACTTCCAAGGTGGGTGTAAATGGGTTGCTCATGATGTGAAAAGTGAAGTGAGGATAATGGAAAGCTTAATGGTAAAGATTTAATACTGTAACTAATATTTTTGGTTTGTTCGTTTATGATTGCTAAGTGAGGATGGCAGTGTGTCGTCTGTTGTTCTCGGGATGGAGCATCAGCTGCCGAGTCTGGTGCAGATTATGACTTCCAAGGTGAGTGCAAATGGGTTGCTAGTGAGGTGAAAAGTGAAGTGAAGATAATGGAAAGCTTAATGGAAAAGATTTAATACTGTAACTAATATTTTCGGTGTTCGTTTATGTAGGTGTGGGATTGTCAAGTGAGGGTGCCGAGTCTGGTGTTCCCAGGATGGTGTTCCTTGATGTTGAAATAGACTGTTGTTCTCGAGTCTAGTGTTCATTGGTGCTTCAGTTAGTAAGAAAATGAACTCGTTAAGTCAAGTCCAGTCACTGTTTTTTGGCCTCCAGAACCTAAACCTATTTTTCCCATTGATTAAATGTAATTATATATCACGATTTAGTATAAAGCGAACATCATTGGACCCTATCTCGAGATATATCACGACCCTACTGTAGTGTTGAATTATTATTAAATGACCTCGGTTGGTCCGGCAAGGCTTTGGAACCAAGGGTGCCAGAAAATCGGTGGTGGACCTGTACTGTATTTAATTTTGGGGGAGAGTGGGAACATTACCCACAAAATCTCACAGACTTAAAATTGATCTCGTTCCTCTTTCTAAGCTACAACTCTAAAAAGATGCAAATTACAGACATTGCATCTTGGATGAATTTTACAGTACGTAATTTTAAACTGAAGTTACACCATGTTTCCAAATGAAGATATACTCGTATTTTTTGAATGACATAGACTTCCTTAAAATAGAACATTACCTTAATTTTAAAGATTAAAAAAAAGGAAGAAAAAAATACATTATTACAGTATTGCATGGTGATATACACAACCACCTTATTGATGCTATGTATGCTAATACTAAGCACTGACATAATGCCTTTGCTGGGCACATCTAAGCCTGTGCTTCTGATATCGAAATATACTGTTTATTGTATTGTTCTGTTCTTTATTTTAAAAGTTTTTAAATGTTGCAGTTAGTAAATGCCCTTTCTGTAGTCCTTACATCTTAGACTTAGACCAAATAGAAGTTTATCTAAAAAGAGACAAATTTAAAGAAAAGGGGGGAATAGCCTGCTGTTCAACCTAATAACTTTTCTGATATAACTGCATGGTGATGGATGCAAGAATATCACCTAACAATTCATTAGATTTCAGTAATATGAACTTAACTAGACATCACTATTTAGAAGGTTTTAATCAAGCTAATATATTATATGCCCATCTGTATATCTGTCTACCTGCAATTAATTTTATATACCATACATGACTTCTCTAACAGTTTCCAACAAAGTTTCATGAAACTGTGTACAGTACAGAACAGTACAATAAAATCTTACATGTCCAGCATGACATTTACATCTTGCTAAAGTACACACTAAAAATGATACTCACTGTTGTTGTTTAAAGCGATACCACATATATTCAGTTGTGCCACGATGGGTTTGGTCAATTCCATGGACGTGCAGGACTAATCGTCTTAATGGTGTGTTGTAGGGAGATGACAGAACACTCAAAAGACGGTCACTCATGTAGTCATAATCTAAGGTTAAAACCTGATGGAGAAGAAGAACTTAACAAAAAAAAAGTGGATTATGATATTTCAATTGACTACAAGTTGTCAGTATTTAAACACACGTACAGTACTTTTGTTTATTCCAGATTTCTTGTAACAAAAAAAATTCCCATCCACCAGAAATATTAATCCCACACACATAATTGATGTCAGGAAAATGTCCACTTTGTTAAAACAGGTACATTATAGGCATTGTTGTATATCCAAAAGCCAGGAGTCAGATGAGGTGTAACAGAAAAGAAATACAGCATGCCCTTCAAATTTGCGGATTTTTAATTCGCGGATGACACCCTGGATGTACCTAAGAATGTCTAAGGGTATTTTTAAAGATACTACTGGCATTTTGGCCGGCTGGGACAGGGAGCCATTCGTTCTAGAGACAGTAATTTCCTTTAACTGTATTGTATATGTGTGTGTGTGTGTGTCTACACACACACAAAACACATATAAATAAATGATAATACCTGTAGGAGAATTCTCTCACAAATAATCAAACAAAGGTATTAAAAATGTTGAGTCTACCCTCAAGTCCACTCTGTGCTTTGTTATTAATAAACATTATAGCATCAATATAATCCAAATTATATACAGAACACAACCCATAATTTTGGTGGAAATTTAATTAAAAAATTATTCTCTAAATATTTAACTTGGGTAAATAAAATCCACAAAACAGCATACATAATGTACGCATTTGTTCCAAATCATAATATTGAACAAGCAGGAATGGGAGAGGGAAAAATACACATGAGTGAAATGAAACAAAATCTACTGTCAAACTTGTAAACAAGCAGTGTTACATTATCTTTCATTTAAATACTTTACCATTTTTTTAAGGGTATTAGCCCACCCGGACACGGGTCACTGACCCATATCAGGGTCTGGGGATATAATAAATGATATCTCCATTAGCTGGAACAATTAGTGCAGAGCACTTCCGGGAATGAAAGATTTCCGGGTAACAAAACAACTCTCTCAAAGCCGGAAAAAAAAAATCCCTAACCCCCGAAATTTTTCGGGTAACGGAAAACATACTCTCGGAAGTTCCAGAAACTGCGCATTACATCATCTCTCAAACCCAGAAAAAATACTCCCCCATCCCTGGAATTTTCCAGAAAACGTGCCCCTCAGATAATCGTTCCCAAGGCCAGAATTTTCCGGAAAATTTTGGCCTCGGGAACAATTTTCTGAGAACATTTCAATTCTGGCTATCAGAGAGTTCCAGTTAAGAGGGATTCCAGCTAACAGAGATATTACTTATATTAATCATAAAAAATAATAATAATAATTAAAATTAATAAAAACAAATAAAATTATATTAAAACAACAATACTAATAATATTAAAAGTGCAGAAAAAAAATCAAGAGTGAGAAACGACATATACAGTATATGTAGTGTTGTCAAGGTAAGAGTAACAATTGAAACCCTGCAATTGTGTGTAAATGAGGCAGAATGTCAGATCAGCATCCTGGGACTTGGACACAAGTTTTGTGATGCCATATGGCAACAAGGTCTAGGGTCTACCATTAGACAATACTGTACAGTACATAATGCTTCCAATATCTTCCCAGATGGTAGTACCTCCCTGTTTGATAGCTGCCTACTACCCTGTTTTATATACCTATATATGCAAGAACCTTTATACAATTATCTTGACATTTTATTATCCAAACCATTCATTATGGTCAAAAGCAAGAATATACAGTACAGTCTCGGTTTACGCGGATTTTTTTACGCAGTACCTGTCCAGACGCTTCAATTATTAGTTACGCGGTACATTCTTGAATTTACGCAGGAAGCGGCGTGGGCAAGCTGCGCGCTAGGTCGCTCTTACATCACCGTTGATGTCAGATGATGTTTTGGACTGTGATTGGGCCGCGCATCCCCTCCACCGCGAGCTGTGATTGGTCTAATTTAACTTGGCGTGCCCTGCCACCAGAGGGAGTAAGTCGCTGACCTTAGATGCGTCAGTCCCATTGTTCTCCGTCTCCGCGTATACAGTGCTCCCTGTGCCCGCTAATCCGCTCAACAATGGCTTCCGCTGGACCCTTACCACCCCAGAGAAACCTTGAACTACCTGGCCCAAGCCGCCCCAAGCCCAAGAAGGTGCGACACGCCTTAAGCTATGAAACTAAGTACAAAATCGTCCAGGACTTAGAGAAAGGCACAAGGCAGGTGGATCTCGCCCGACAACATGGCGTGAATGAATCGACGATCCGCACCATCAAGAAAGATGCCGCCAAGATCAAAGAGCACATGAGCATCACAAAGTCTGCAGGTGCGTCAATGGTGAAATATTGCCACAATAAGGTGCTGCTCAAGACTGAAAGTTTGTTGGTCAGGTACCTGATGCGTCAGTCAAGTAGGAACATGGCGGTCGACACTCGGGCATTGCAGGACTACGCGAGAGAATTGTACGTATCAGTGGCGAGAAAAATGGGAGTTGCAGAGCCCAAACCCTTCACTGCTTCCGCTGGGTGGCTGCAAGGTTTCAAAAGTCGTAATAAGATCACGAACGTTGAAATTGTTGGTGAAGGAGCCAGTGCTGACCGGGCTGCCGCAATGAATTTTCCCCCATTCTTACGAGAAATTATGGAGGAAGGACAGTACACCGACGACCAAGTATTCAACATGTATGAATCCGAGTTGTTTTGGAAGAAATTGCCATCCAAGACCTTTGTAGTCAAGTCTGCGAGGAAGAGTCGGTACCGGAAGTTGCAGAAAGAGCGCATCACCGTCCTATTCACCACCAATGCCTCCGGCACTTGTAAGCTGAAGTTGTCTGTGATCCACAAAGCCCGTAAGCCGCATACCTACAAAAATATGGACATGAGCAAGTTAAATGTCCATTGGCTAACCTCACGTAAGGCGTGGATGTTCACTGGTCTGTCCCTCTCCTGGTTTGACGACTGTTTCGTTCCTGATGTGAAGAAATTCTGCAAGCAACATAATGTTCCATTCAACACTTTGTTGCTCCTTGACAACACACCAGGACACTCGCCCCTTTTACTGGATCATCACCCCAATGTAAAAGTGGTCTTCCTTCCCCCTAACACTACATCGTTAATCCAGCCCATGGACCAGGAGTTGATATGTAACGTCAAGGCTGCTTTCTCCGCAAAGAAGTTTCGGCTCCTGAACGACTTCACCAACACCAAGGATGAATTGCAGAACCTTCTGAGTGGCACCGATAGCGAGTGAGGATCCAGAACAAGATTTGGCGGACCATGAAGTGCGAGTCAAGCAGTTCTGGAAACTGTTTAACGTCAAGAAAGCTGTTGATTTCTTGGTGGAGGCATGGGGGCAGCTGTCTGTGGCAACGATTCGTCACGCGTGGCGGCATGTGTTGGAGGGTATCCCAGGTGAGAGGCAGAGTCAAGCGGTGGCTGGTGAGGCTCAGTCTGTTGCTGTGGCATTGGACATAGCAAGAGAGGCTGCACAAAGTGTTAGAGCTGCAGGCTTCTCCGAGACCACCAACGACAACATCCTGGAGGTAATCAGGCAACCTAAGGTGACTGCAGAGGAGATGTTAGAAGATGATGACGTCAGTGAACAGCCAGGTGTTACAGAAGAACAGGAACAGAAACTAACACATAGTGTTGAAAAGGAGGTCATCGAGTTTGCTGAGAAAATCAAGCTCATCCTTGCCAAAGACCCAGTGAATCATCGCTATGAAGTCTCAAATAACCATCTGTTGAAATCTATGGAGCCGTATGTCCAGATGTATCACAACCACATCAATGCAAGCCGTCAACGAAATATTACCGAGTTCTTCACCCGCAATCCACCACAGCCACAGCCAGCCCAGGTCAGTGATAGTGAGGATATGGACTTTGAGGGGTTTGACGAAGAGGCCCTGCTAGCCTCTGTGGTGGATAGTGATACAGGTGATACAAGTGATACACCTATGGGCCACTAATCTGCCCTCTGCCTCGGAACCAACTCCCCATCCCTGTGTGCCCAGCCATCTCTTCTACTAACGTAAGTGTTCAAAAAGCTAATATTATTGATATTTCTCTTATATATTAATTGTGTGTGCATACCATCATAAAATTAAGATGTTATTTTTACTACAACGTACGTATTATGTCGGAAAAAAGGTAGTCTGGGGGTCGGCCCAGTCTCAATTTCAATTAATCCCATATGTTCTCTTATTTCGTTTACGCGTTTCGCGTTTTACGCGGACCTCCACGGGTTTAATTGACCTCGTAAACCGAGACTACACTGTAGTCATTAAAGGTCTTGCATGGATGGCATCAGCTGAATGAGAGAGGCATTGTTTACAGCAGGCATTTAACTCATAGCACCTCCTTGGTCCCCATTGTCATATTGTAACTTGGAAGGATTTCATGTACTATACAGTGCAGGGTATTAAAATCCTTTTCTGGTGGTTGTCAAAAATGTGTGTTTTATGCAGACAATGGCAATTATTTTGTGTATGTATAGGTGCATGGTCTGTAGTAAAACAGCATTAGACATTAGTATTACTTGTGCAGTATATTCTATGTTTGTTTACTGTAATGCAAGGGTGTTTAAAACTGCGTAATAACCTAAACGGGGGGGGAGGGGACAAAGTAACCTAACAGCAAGATTGACATCACATGGTTGTTCAGGCCTCCTGCCTTCCATTGTGAGGGAAATCCTTTTTCTACACTCCCTTCTCAGGACATCAGCTGCAACAAGGATGTATACTAACCAAACCACTTAGTCCCAATCAAGGTAAAAGCAGAGCAGGTGGCTAACACCAGAAGGAGCTTATGGAAATGGACCAAAATTTCCAAAGATGCTGTTTAGATGACAGTAAGTAATAATATCAAAAGTAAATGCATAGAACCTAACAGAATTGAACTTAACCTTACCAAACCACGCAATAATACTGTCGAATGTTGCACTGAAACACATTAAGATCATTAAATGTCATGTCCCTGTCACATTTTTTAACACTTGCAGGTCCTGCCAACAAGACCATGATCAAGTATCAAGTCCTTCACATATGCTTGATCCTCAACAAGGATTGAAAGCTTCCGATGATCAAGGGAACAACCAGTGCACAAAAAAAAAAAAAAAAAAAAACTAAACTACATTTAACTTGGAATCCTTTGACATTACAAATTTAAAGGAAAGCTATCCAAACCCCAGTTATGGGTTTAAATCTCAACCATATGATTTGATCCTGCATATATTGACGAGTTTCTAAAACGTATTGCGCAGCAAAGAAAAAATATGAGTGATTTGTGCAGAAAGACACCATGAACAGAAAATGGAATGGTATTAGATAACAAACAGAAGTATTGCAATCCATTTTTAAAGTATAACAAACCCTGATAAGATCGACTAACATTTGTTATAGATACAGTAGTAACAAATAGCAGATTCAACTGGCTTTAGTTTTGGAAAGAAGCATTGACATCGTGGGGACGTGAGAAAAGCGGCTCCATATTTAAGATAAATTATTTATTACTTTGCCCACAAAGCACGTACAGATGTCAAAATCAGTGCTTGCTGTGTTTTTACCCCATAATTTCCCTCTTCTTTCATGCCCTGCCCACCAACAGGTAAATCTTGATTGTAGGGTGGACGAAATGGGGAAAAAATAATAATACAGGAACTGTAATCCAATATAACGAGAAACTTGTCGTATTGTTTTTATTACTTACTATCAGCCGTACAACATCTCTGGAAAAAACTAACCATTTCCATAAATTCCTTTTGGTGTGAGCCATCTCCTCCAGTATTACCCAAGTCAATAACATCAAATCTCCCAAGTTTCAGAGTTAGACCAATGGGTTAGTATGCAGATTAAACTTAAGCTGCCTGGTGAAGTATAGCTGGTCATAAATCACAATTATAAGTGTTTTTAGGATATATTTTCCTAGCAATCAAATGATGAAAATATACAATAACACACCTGCAAGTTAGTGAAGGCAGTAAAATTGTCTGGAGTGATGTCAAGCAGGGCATATGAATTGGGATCATATTTCACTGAGGCCATACCAATGGTTGAGATGGAAGTTGACTGGTGGTGGGCCAATAACGGAAGAAATATATCTGCCTGATCAATTAAATCCTGGATGCAGCCTAGTGTAAGAGTGCGCAGATTTCGACTATTGCTGATGATACTTTGCAATGATTCTTGTACACTGAAAGAAAAAAAAAGATGTTTTTAGTTCTGCTTATGATATTTTGCAATAATTCTTGAGTACTAAAGGAGAGAAAAATATTATCATTTAAAGTGATTCATGAGCACCACTGCTAAAATATTTAGTGATTTAATGTTATAATCTTAGTATTTTGTCAGAGGTGAGGATAAAGTGGGAAATAATTTCAAGGTTAATCTCCCAGCCATTATAAAACCGCAATATATTCCTACTTCAAGAGGTAATGCATTTTAATGTTATTTTAAAATATAAATACAGATCCTTGACAAACCAGACCTAGAGAAAACCAGAGATTTTCTTTCCTGAGCTTCTGTTGGATGATTATTTCTCTTCTTCAACATTAAAAAATATATAATTTCATAAATATTTAAAATAAAAAACAATATAGTCCACTAAGAAGTTGAGTTTCCCAATACAGTAGCGAGTTAAGTGGGTTTGTGTATGTCCCAGCAGCTTCTAGCAAGTTGTGACATTTGCCAGAAGTTGTGAGTTCATAAATACAGGTATTTATTGTAACACAAAGCTTTGAAATTAATTTATTGTCAAAAAAAAAATAATAATAAATTGGAGGTCCCTTATGTCAAAGGTTGATTGTTGCCACATGTGGGCCAAGAGACAACAAGCTGTACAGTAAACCCTCCAGTTTGGCGACTTTCTGTTTAGCGAATTCGAAGTTGGCGGTCAAAATTCAAAGTGCCCTGCCCTTCATTATGGCGACCAAACCCTCACCTTTGGCGAGAGATTAAATTTAAATGCAATCACAACTAATAATTGTAAAATAATAAGTGCAAGATAAATCTCGCTTAATACTACTAGTGAGTATTATTGGTGAGTATTTACTGAGCACAAAGCACCAGTCAGCTGCTCAGGCAGATATTTTGACCGAGTCAATCCACATTCCCACTGTTTGTTTGAGTGACTTTCACCTTTGTGTACTTTTTTTTTTATTCACTCTCGCTTGGCGCTGTGTTCTTGTGCGGATTAATGGCCCCAAAAGTACCTGGGGTTATTGGAGGGGATGATAGTGGTGGTGAAAGACCGCCTGAGTGGCCAGTCGGTTCAAATGATGGGGTAAAAACAAAGACAAAAAATTCTCCCGAGTATCGAGTTGGGAAGAAAATGAAAAAGTACTCATTTGAGGGTAAGAGAAAGATTGTAGATATGATTGAGTTTGCCAAAGGACTTTTATTTTGAAGGCTTTGTTCTAGTGGTGGCAGAGGCAGAGGCAGTGGTGGAGTCGGGGGGAGGACGCGTGCGCACACGCACACACGCGTGCGCGCACACACACACACACAGAGGAGGTCCCCGACTTACGAAAGCCTGCCAATATGAACAAGGCTAAACCTGAAATTTACAGCATTTTATTTACCAAATTACATATTTTTTCTTTCATTTAATGTATTTTGTCATTCTATTTCTTCTTTAGTCTTAAATTAAGTGATTTTAGATGTATATAAGGACTTAGACTATGATACAGTAGGATTTTAAATATAGTTTTGGAAGTACAGTATGCATATAGCACGTGCTCTGACTTACATACAAATCCGATTTAAGAACGTCCTCAGGAACGAAACCTGGGGACCCCCTGTATATTTATATTGCACTAATGTATACCTATACCAAACAACCGACCAGCCATGGCAGCACTCAACCCCTCTTTTAACTTATCTAATAATTGAACTTTCCTTGTCAGGGTCATCACCGACTTCTGTCTTTTACATTTCACTCCACTAGCACTGACACTATGCGGTCTTTTAGGGGCCATTTCACACAGAAACACTTAATTTTTGAGAGTGCAACATGAGATGATGCGTCACAGACAACGGTTGAGTGCGAACAGAGGGAGAGGAGACACTGTGGGCGTGTGGGGGCGACTAGTTGAGCTGCAGGAAAAGGCTTGCAAGCTAGCCACCATATGCTTACCACGAATCGTTGAAATTGTGAAATGCAAACCCGCGAATGGGAAGGGTTTACTGTATATAATAATGGCTGCCCCTCATGTACGAGGATGGCCTACCCTAGGGCCACCTAGGTGTGAATTTGTTTAAGGTGTAGAAGCTGTCGCCAATACAACTACCACACCCTAAGTTAATAAGTTGCATGACCACTGTTTTATCATGCAGGTACCCAATAACTCACAAAACTCTTCAGGGTAATAAAATTCCTGAGGATCAAGATTTTGATACTGTACTAAAGAAACCCAAAACATTTATCAAGTAAAAGTATAGAGCACTGTACCTCTCAATGAACTGATATGATGATCTTGAACATGGTAGACACCGGGGATGAGATGCATTGTTCTTGTTGTTATTGTTGTTGTTGTGGCGGAAGTAGTAAGGGCGATCGTGGCCCTTTATAAATGTATGGCAATGACTTGGTAGTAAAATAAGTTCTTCCACCTGAAAAAATACAACATATAATACCTGCATTACTAGTACCTCAGCAATTACTCATACTTAACTGTACTAACACTGGCTACCTTGAGATGGGGTTAAAAATGAAATAATTGTTCAGTTTATACTTCTTATGGGAGTCAGCAAGTATTACAGTATACTGTATATTAGGGTGTGTCATAGGAGGGAAGATCAGCTAAACTAATGGCCCATCACTTTTTTGGTAGATTTTAGTGTATATAAACAGAAAATAATTTCAGTTTCAATATTTTGCAACCTTTTGCTCGGTAAATTTTAGCGTGAAATTTATCGAAAATCTAACGTACAGCTGCATTAGTGCATTACAATTAAATAGTGAACATTGCTTTCTGACTTCATTCTTTAACAACCCAACTAACAATATTTTTTTCTGTTTCAGATTCTGATGCATTTATAAGTTGATAATATTTATGCATGGCTGCTTGTGTCAGGACGAGGAACCAAAAATCCAGCCATCTCAGTCACTATCTTGGGTCTGGGAGAGAGCTCCTGAAGTCGGAGTTGCCTACATTGAGAGATGCTTTGAGATACGGTGTTTTAATCAGGCAAATCAGTGAAAAGAACCAAAGAACTTACACAAACAAAGACATTGCCAGTGATATGACCAAAGCTGTCTTGGCACAGTACACTCTGGCTAACGCTCAGTTCAAGCCTCCAGTCATAACAAGTCAGAAGAAGATTAGTGAGAGACTGCTAGCCAGTTGGGAAAAGGCAAGAGATATCTCTCTTGGGAGAGGAAAACTTGCAGTTAAGGACAGCTTTGCCAAGCAACTGGACCAGTTATTTGATATAATTACTTGCAAGTGCCCAATTGTTCTCTGTCCTGAGTTTGGATGCGATCGTGACTGTAAATCCGAGGCCCACATCTCCTGTATTTGCAAGCTTGAACTGAAGATTCCTGTGATCGAACTGGCATTTATCAAAGCACAGAGAGAGAAGACTGGCAGTATAGGGGCTCTCATGATTTCTAGCCAAGATATTCCGGAGTCCAAGAGACAGGAGGCTGCCACAGAGACAGAAGAGGAGAAGAGTTGCCGAGGAAAAGAGACTCGAGAAGGCCCAGGGTGAGGTAAAAAAGGCCGATGATTGGAGTCAAGCTGATTCAGAGTTTAATGAATTCCCCATGGCTGATCCGAGTGCTGACCAGGAGAATGGTGACTTTGTCCCTAACCCAGAAAATAATGATCCCAAACCTTCCAGGCATAAGATTCGAAATAGGAAAGATATCCCGAGCATAGCTCTGGCCAGCATGCGACACCACACTGGTCTCAGAGAAACTGCAGAGATAGCAACAGCTGCCTGGATTGACGGTGGTTTGATAACACCTGATGATGTTCACCTGGTGATAGATCATAACAAAGTAAGGAGAGCTCAGGAGAAACTTGTCAGTAACCTAGAAGAGGAGTTTGATAAGGGGATAAGAGAAAATGGAATCAATTGTTTGTTCTTTGATGGGAGAAGGGATGACTAAAGTGTTCATGAAAGTTGGAGATTCTGACAAGTTGTTCCCTGCCATGGTGAAGGAGGAACACTACTCCTGCTGCAGTGAACCAGAAGGGAAGTATTTGTGGCATTTCACTCCAGAGAAAGATGACATCAGGAAACCAGCTGAGATAGTGGCAGATAACATTGTGAACTGGCTCAGAGAGAGGAACGTAGACCAGACCCTGCAGGCCATTGGAGGGACAGCACCAACACGAACACAGGGTGGCAAGGGGGGGTCATACAGTGGATAGAGCGGAAGATTGGGAGGAAGCTGGTCTGGATTGTTTGTGACCTCCACACCAACGAGTTGCCACTCAGGCATCTGATCCAGGAGCTGGATGGCAAGACTCTTTCAAACAACAGATGGTCTGGTCCTCTTGGCAAGATGCTGGACTCTGCCACTGAGTTAGAAATAAATCCGAGCTTTGAAAAAAATCACAGTTGGCCCTCCACTCGTTGAGCTTGCACATACTGTCATTGGCGTGACCTGAGTACTGACCAGTACTATGGTTTACATGATTTGCAGTACCATCAAACTGGGGTCATGCCTGATAGACTTGCTTTCCTGCAGATAGGTCAATCTCACATTCCTAGGTGGCTCTACTTGGCTCTCAGGTTCTGCAGAATTTGGTGGCTCATCATAAACTGAAAGGGAACCAACTACAACCTGAGACTTATTGTCCATTCATCGTGAGTGTCTACTTGCCAAATTGGTTCCGCTTACCAAGGTCAAGTCATCGTTCTCCGAAGGTCCGAGACATGTTCTCTTCCAGCAGGCTCCTGAGGAGTCAGCCAAGGAAGGTTGTTCAGATTAATGGAGCAGACTGTGAGGAGATCTTCCTGAGTATGCTCATCCCGAGGCAGTTCTGCAGACAATGCTCTGCAGTAAGGATGAGGAGGAGAAGAGTGGCGATCAGATCTTGGATATGAGACTTATGAGAGGATCTGGGCATGACGAATTAGTTGGTGACGATTCCTTCAGGGTCAGGAAGACTCCTGAAGTCAATCTAGGTGCCAAGACCCTCACTGATCTCATAGATCTGGATAGCATCCAGGCTGGCAGTTAGCCCCCTCTTACCTGCAGCCTCACCAATGTTCAAGTCAGAGCTTTCCTGGACAATCCCATGCATGCCCCTGCCTGGCCCTCGCACACCCAGAGTATAGAGCGTTGTGTACAGCAAGTGAGCGAGGCCAGCAGTCACGTGTACAGCCAGGAGAGGAGGGAAGGCTACATCCTAGCTCAGGTGGTCAGCAGGGAGGTGATGAGTAGAAACAGAAGCAAGAAAGACATGTTCTCTATGGTGTGCAGCAACACCGGGTCGTAGTAGTAAAACCGGTTTTTGTATTTGATGATTTTGTTTTCTAAAGGAATATTAAATTTAATAAATGTGTCAAGATCATTCGTTTCACTATTCTGCATCATTTTCATCCTAATAAATTAACCTGATACATTTACTTTACTTTAAATAAGCTATTTAGTGGTGTTGGTAAAAGGGTGGGAATACTGAATTTTCATAAGATTTCAAGTTAAAATTTACCTAGCAAAAAATTAAAACTTTTCAAATCTGAAGATATCACATGATTCTGCACATAGAACTACATCATTAATACCATGGGCCGATTTTTCAAACTCAAAAAAAAAAAATTCGCCTCCGTATGACACACCCTACTGTATATACATAATCCTGTACAACCAGTCCCCAATTTATGAAGATCTGATTTATAAAAATCCAAAGGTACAGAATTTTTTCCAATGTTTCAATTAACATACAAATATCTAATGTCAATTTATTTTTTACTTTTTCGTAATTTCTTCAAAGAATCGGAAGATGGTGAGGTGTGGACACAGACATCTCAGGGCTTTCTGTACCAGGCCTGGTCAGTTTATAAAGACAAACTAAATACAATATACAGTACTGTACTGTGCAGGTATCCCTCATTTAATGATAGGGTTGCATTCCTGAAAAACCTGATAAGCGAAATTATTGCTGAACGAAGGACAACAGCAAAGGACAGAGGGCAAACAACAGCTTCAAATGTCAGGGCAGCAAACACTGAGTACAGTAGTATTCCCTAACACAATAATAATAATTATAAACAAGTTTGTTGTACACGGCTTTGAAGTTAAATGATTGATTTACTGAAGTATTAACACCAAACTTCTCTATAAACAATGTGGTTCAGAGTTAAACAATTTTGTGAGCAAAAGGCGAGTCTAATTCGAACAAATTTCAATTACAGTACAGTACTGTACTTACATAAAAAATGAACAAAGTTGCTATAACAATAAAATGAATATATACAGCAGCATACCATAAAATACAATAGCATGTGACACAGTTCAGCCAGGCAATCAATCAGCTGACTTGGAGACATACAGGTATGTGTGCGAGTGGACTGGCAAGCCAGCAACGCAGTTACATCCCACAGCCTCCACGCATATGTTTACTTCCCAAACATACATACCCATGCTCTTAATTTTTCATATTTCATAGTTTTATCACATTTTCTTCATTTCTAAGCCACATTAGAGTATTATAATGATTGTTCCACAATTTTTATAGTTTCATAACATGTAACAATGGCAACATGCAATCTCACAGGCCACCTCATCCCCAGTTTCTTCCCCTTCTCAGTGAGTCAAGCTATCGCTAAACTAAAATTTGACCTAACGTTAAGTGAGGCTGTGAGAAAGGTTGTCCAATTTTTTTTTCCTTCACCGAATTAACGTTAAATGAACTAATGCTAAATGGATACATTTACTGTATTGTTATGACCCTCCTCCTTTCACCACTTACCCAGCTTCCACCACTGGTTACCAGTGGCCAGGGTCATATGTACAGATGCAGTAGATATCTCACAGGAGTTGTCAAATTACCACTGGCTGTCCTGCCAGTCTCCGGTAATTTCCCGACGATCGGTATTGTACACAAACAAAAGTTAGGTAAATTTCCACCAAGTCACAGAAACACACTTGTGCACTGTAGTCGTCTTTAATAAGCACTAATTCTTCACAACACTGTTAACAGGGTAATGTCTTCACAGCTTAACTCCGCACTTCAAATATATAGTCAGCACACTACCAGTTTACAATTCCTTAGTCTTTGTCATATTATGGAATAAATTATGATTGTGTTTACCTTTACTCTGAATGTTCTCTTGTTTTAATTGGGTTTTGTTTTGTTCAGTTGCAGATGTATATGAATTTATGAGTTGAATAGCCTTGATTACTGAAGGTGTTTGATCTCAAACGACAATTTATTTAATTCATATTCTACTAGCAACATGGAAAGCATACTCTGCCCCGACAAGCTTGATGTTGATCCAAATTCCCCGGCTGCTGAGAAGGAATACAAGCATTGGCGTAAAACTTTCGAAAACTTTATTGATGAGTGTGGAGACAGAACACCTGACAAACTACGATGTTTGACAAAATATGTATCTGCTACTGTGTATGAATACTTTGCTGATGCTACAGGAGT